ACACACGCCGAAAAGTGATAGGCGTCGAGTGCGACGTATATTTCGAATAGAATATTACTGTTTTTAATAATACCGCACGGGTGTTGCAATCGTTCGATTGTCGTGCTCGTCCCGCGCTTACATTGCGTTGTACACGATTATAATATGTTGTACATATTAACGTGTATCGCGCTCTCCCCCACCCACCCCCCGTTATAATGAATTCTAAAGCACCCCAACACCGGTGCCAGCATACACACACAAGACGAGCATTAATCGTCACGATATGGGCGCATACACTTTTCGTTGGCCGTATATTACCGTCGGCACGAGACCGTGATCTTTTCTCCTCCGTTAAATGTGACGTTTTGCTTAATAACACGCGCTGCAATTGACTTTTAACTTCTCGCAGTGCATACGGTCACGGCGTGTTTCGCGAGTAAACAAACAAATCAGAACTCGTAAATCGATCCGTCTGCAGTGCATGGCGTGTTAATAATGGGCAAACCCATGCGTACTACAGTATGCGAACCATCGTACGATGTGCCGTCAAAGTTCCCCAAAATGTTGATTTCGGTTACTATCCTACATTATTAACGGGCGTTTAATTTTAATCACGTTTGGTCAAATCGACTCTAATGTCACGTTATACGCATACAATCAGTAAGCGCGAGTGCACACACTTGTCTCTCTTACTCTCTGAGAGAAGAGAGAGATGCGGCCGACGGTCAATGGTTTTTATTTTACGTCCACATAGGTCGGGTTTTTTCCCGTAAAACGTACTCTGAAAAAGCATTCGGTACACGTAATCTCGAATAAATACGTAACAATATATATTCAAATCGAATACTTTAAAAACAACTCGAATCATTTCCACGAAATCAAGCGTGAACGTTTTTCATCATCGCGATGATACCTGTCATACCAAAGTCTGACTGTGTTGATATTATACCAAAGGTTTTTCGCAATATCTAGTGTGGAAGAAGTCGATTTCATAGTTTTATCACATAGTCCGTTAGAAAACGCGGACGATTAATACTATTGAATTACTGGTAAAAAATTATAAAATGTGATTCGCTATCGAATACCACCCGGACACTATTAAAACAAGTAATGAACGCAGTGTGTTCGAACTCGAATAACGCATACGATTTGAACTTGCCGGAATATTCGAGTACGCTTGTAGGAGCACGATGCGTTAGTCCCCGATCTAGTTTCGTGATGGAAAATGCAGACGAAAATAACGATCGATGAGAACAAGTGTTCATCGTAAGAAAGTAGGTACTTGCGAGTGTATGCGATTTGTGTGCGCAACTCGATTTTCCTGCGATCAGGGTGGGGTGGGGGAACTGCAGCGCACACTCCTATCGTCCGAGAGTTAAATTCCGCGTTTAAGGATCTTGTTGGTAAACATACGTTCGCGGACCGGGTCGTCCTTCGCGCTGGTCCGCCACACCGGTTGGGGGGTTACGCACGCCGATAGTCTCCGACGTACAGCTATCACATTGTGTTATGCTTGTACGTGTATCGTCTTATGGGAACCGTGAAAACGCGCTCTCGTACATACGGGTCGGTCACGGTTGAACGGGAAGAAATGCGCATCGCATCGCGGTGTAATTATTTAGATAATACGCCATCGGTACTACACGCGGGGCCCGCAGCTCATAAGTGTGCCACTGGGCTGCGGAAAAGTCCACGTGTCGTTCGGCGGGCATCCGTACGCGGCGCGCAGTGCGTTCGCACACGCGTATATTATTATACCGTTGATACGTTAATGGGTGTCGTTTTTTCGTATGGGAAACTTACGAGGAACGGTCTCCTCCGCCGCATTGCGTGCGCCGTGTGCGTTCGTCCGCGCGTACGCGTATGTTTAAGGCCAATTAGGCGGGTACGATTAACCTGAAAAGAAAAACGGGGCAAAAAAAATGCGCCCGTCCGGTGTACCGCACAATGCGTATAGTGAAAGCAGCGAGAAACGACTGCAACGTTGCGCGCGCGCAGTGACAAAACGGTATACGAGTAGATGTTCCGTCGTATTGTACGTAACGCGTTACGAACGTTATAGCTGTTCGACGATCGTTAACCGCGGTCGACAGCGACACGGTGAACTCCCTCGACGAAACGCATTGAAAATAATCGCCGAAATACGTACACTATAGTCGATATACTAGATAGATACTGTATATTGTATCGATTGAAATCCTCGGTGAGGTTCACGATTGATTGATTTTAAATGACACATTCCAAATCGGAATTCGAAGTTTGAAGATTACAAAAACAGCATGATGCGTGGAAAAAACTAAATGTTCTCCTCGGTTAGGACAAAACGATGACAGATTTACTTTAAACGCGAGTTGAAAAAAGTCCTAAACAGTACAACATGAACTGTTTAGATTTGTATTCTATTAAAAATATATATATATATATATAAACATATTAATTTAGGAAAGGATCGCAGGAGGAAATAACCCGAGAAAATACGTAAAAGTCATCGACATCCGGGTCCTGCGCATAACCATTACGGAGTGTACGTTACAATGGTGCAGTGGCTACAAATCTTCTCGTTGCCGTTGTTGTTTTTCGTCCGTATACAAGTACACGTATAATACGTATTCCGGTACGTAGCACACAATACGGGAAAGGTGACTGAAGACGGGGCATTAAAGTCTCCCGACGACGAGTCAACGTATTATTTAACGCGAAGCGTTCGCGCACAACAAGTCGTGTGTGCACCGTGTAATTAACCGTATGATGATCGTTTTGCTCGCGTCCGCATTCGCCCCGGCCGCTTAGTCTGTGCGCACGTAACCTCTGCGCCTCGCGGTTACACTAAACAGTTCATAAATAATATCGTTCGTTATCATCTACCATTCCGCTCTTTCGGTACGTATATACGTGTACGACCTCAAGAGCATCGGGCACAGGAGGTATTCGGTCAGTCTTCAGGTAGCCGCTGGTCAAAACAGTTTTTCATGACCATCGGTCATGCGCGGTATATCATACGCGCATATGAATGCGTATACGTGTCCGCGGTAGATGATGGTGGCTGTGTTATTTGGTGGTAGTGGTAACGGTGGCGGTCGATGTCCGCGCGCATACGTATACGCCACTCGATGCACGTATTACACATATTATACACGTTTGAGTGTGTGTGTGTAATAATAGTATTATCGTCTGGATATCACTGCGGGCGTCGTCGTGTCGATAGGTACCTACGCACGCGTAGTAGATACGTACACGATACGACGAGCACATCAAAGTACTCGTACACAGTGGCCGACAACGGAATCGAACTCTGTAGGAGCATAAGGATACGCCCTCCTTCCCTGGAGGAGAATCGGCTGCTTCAATGGTGGGCAAGTGTCGACTGAGACCGAAAGTTTAGCGCGGAAAACGCAATCGTTACATACGCGTGTACCGACGAAACGTCCGTGGATCGTACATGTTTTAAAATGTAGCGGTTTTCGAAAGGTTTCTAAAAACTGTCTGAGAAATTAACTGTTTTCCGACGCCCTAAGCTCCTAAAAACGTTTCGCAGCAATAGTGTACGGTTGAAATGTTCTGAAAATATTGCAATCATCAGTAGGATTATTCTATAGAAAAATGGATGAAAATGTATTGTTTGAGAACAATTGCAGGTAAGCCATGGTGTGCTGTTCATTCGTAGTATCCGTATTCAGTTTTTCACATTTTAATATACTCACCATCATCCTATTACCCAAAACTCACTCAACGCCTTTCAGCATAGCCTCGGGCCGAAAATTGAAAGGGGTCTCAATATGTCTAATATTCGTTGGTGAACAATTGTTTTAACAATTAATTGTGACTATAATACAGTATACAAACATACTAAACTTATTTTGATCGACATTCATTACAAATTACTAATTCTGAATAAAAAAATTAAATTTTTTTGAGTGGAAGGACCTCACTAAAAGTAACAATCCCCTTTATATAATTACCATAATCCGCCCTGTCTGTATACCTACGCCACGTGCGCTCACGACGATGACTTATGATTACCGGTCACGTCTATGCATACTTCGTACACGAGAAATATATTTTATGATAACTGATGTCGATCGACGGTTTAAGAGTGCATATACGAATCTCGAAACAATTTACTCGATACATATTAAAATGTTCTCGACCACTGATATGCGCGTACACACACTTACACACAAGCACACGTACTTACATGTTCACACACATGCAAGCACTCACGCAATCCGTTGGTCAATTTAACTCCATCCTGCGATTCACAGTCGTTATATTACGGTCTACTATTAAATGCATATGTGCTCGGCAATTTGATGTGTCCGAAAGTATTAAAATTGAATAACTGTCAGAAATCCACTAGACTGTATAGTAATAATAATAATAATAATAATAATAATAATAATAGTATGCAATTTTTACCACTGGTGAAAAATAAAACCAGTTCCGATCAATATATAATATCGTATGTGATTAACATTCCATGACGTTGTAAACCACACCATCGTATCAACACTGTAAAACGGAATCGCAACAACGTAGGTACATACGCATTGATAGTGTTAGGAAAAAATATTGAATATTTCGTACGAATGCTACACAATCCGATCATTAATTTTATAGAACAATACACCGGTCGAACCTCAAGTTCTATGGTACAATAGCGCCGCAAACCGCGTCGTGTTCACAATATTATGTATATATATATATATCAATACATATTTATATAAGTATACATAGTTTTACCTACATTTACCTTCGCCGCCATTCCATCACCCACCGGAGACGCATTAAGCTTTGTGTGCAAACGATCTCACGGATTCGGTTATTAAAGTTTGTAATTTAATTTTCGGAACGTAACAAATCCGAAATAAAACGTTTCATAATGCAAATTAACGATTTCGTGAACCACTGACGGCGATATTAACATCTGACCTTGGTGCTATGTAGCCGCGCAATCGTGTTATTATTATTATACGTGCACAAAATTATAATAATATTATATCAACAGTATTTATTCTTACCTGGACACGGTGGAGATCTTCTCCTCGGGCCGTACCCCGTTGGTCTTCGTCGCATTTCTAGCGATTCCATCTGCAATAACAAACATAATTATAACCTAATCGATCAAAATCATTCGTTCCAATGTTTTCCCGCCGCGAACGTAACACGTGCGCGCACATGACAGGCGGATAAAAGCCCGTATATAGTAGTAGTATATCGTAGATAGAACCCTATACTTATATCAGTTGTTTGGATATCCAGATCGCCCGAATTTCTGCAAATCTGAATTCCTACCTAACGTTTAAAAATTCCAAATTACTACTCTGTTGAACCCGGATCTCGCGTTACTTTACTAACCTGACTGTAATTAATGTATATACCAAATGCATTTACTATTTTTGAGAACATTGCCCATAACTTTTAACAAGTTTGATTTTTTACTTTCTATTTTACTCTACACCATTGTAGCAAGAGTTTTTTTTGTCTATTTTTTATTATTTTGAGTTATATCCACGTATTTTAAAACATTTCATTTGAACTATTTTCCTTATTCTTACTAAAAGTATTGCTTTTATAAACTTTAAAACGGCGAATTTGATTTTGTACACACAAGTTTGAAAATAATTTCAATTAATATGATTAGGTTGTCATTCTGATGTTTAAAATCCGAATTGCGGATTTTCTGGAAATTTAAAGAATTTATATTTAAAAAACATGACTGACCAAAGCATTGCGTAACACATTTTTAAAGGTATGGTTAAGCGATTAATAATTATAGATTCACGAAAAGGGTAAACATTTTATAGAAAGGCTCATACAGAAATATAAAACCGTAAGAAATTCAATAACTTCAAACAACAAACACTTCACCGGAATGAGAAAATTATGTAATCCGTATCATGTTATTGTATCGAAGCAAAGAAATAAGGGATGGACGTTAGACCCCATGAACTTTCTTGCTCCTCTTTAAACTCACCAATGTCCGTTACACGTATGTGTTAGAGGAGTAACCATATATTCTATGAATTTCATCTTTCCGATTGCTAAAAGGCTCGATGATAACGACACGTGGACATGCATTGATAATTAGTTGTACGGAACAAAACGAGAACGGATCAAGCTAAGTAGAAAGTGCCTTACTGTGGTGTGTACTATAAGTGTTCGATGAAGACATACGCTCCCGTGAAAATCGTGGGAACGACGTCGAAAACAATTGGGTGTACGCGCGCGACGAAGAAAAATTCAAGGAAAAGGAACGAAATGTGCAAAATAAAAAAAATAAATAAGAACAATAGAGAACACACGCACCCAGGGCTTTTGTAAATTTCTCGTTGCGATCTCCGGTCAGAAATAGGCGTTGCTTTTCTACGGGCAAACAATGCGGCGGCCAGTCACATCATCAAGACCGTTATGTAAATACACGTGTGTAAACGTACGTTTAAGCGCAACACAACGAACGTTTACTTGTGCTGGACTTATTATATTGTTCTAAAACTATTATTGGGGTCGGGTGCAGCAGCTGGGATAGGTATTCGCGTGCGGTGCGCGTTTCCGGTCATGAGATCAGGGCGTGCGGATCCTATGAGATTTCTTATCCTTACCGGGAAGTGAAAAATTTCAAAAGCAATCGAATAAATAAAAGCGGTGTTCCAGTTGTACATATATAATACGTATTATATTCTTCGGTCTGAGCCGTGGCCACGTGACACAGGAGGTTAACCGTATACAGGATGATTTTCATTAAACGTTAATTATAACATAAAGAACGTTTGGAAAAAGACGATAGTGATTATGGTGTTGTTCGCTAGAAAATAAAAATACAAAGACGTAACCTATTAAAACTGATAATATAATAGATCCAAGGGCAGGTCCTGTTTCTGGCTCAGGTTGTGTTTGATTGCAGTGTTCGCTTGACAACGATGATAAATAAATGATATGGTGTACGGTTCAGAAGACGATTCCAGGTAAAGCCGGTGCTGTTCGTATCCCGAATACTCGAAAAATTGAATAGAAAGCAAGACTCGGGAAAATTTATCGATTGTGCTTATACTATGGGTTTCAAAGTTTTTTTAAAATTCAACAAATCGGTCAAAAGCTCTCGATTTCATATCATACGGTTTATCTATTTACTAAGGTTAATCGTGTACAGAGAAATCGATAAATACAAATCACGTAGTTTCATCATAATATTCAAAAGAAATATGAACGCGAAACATTATTTAACATATAAGTTTATAAATTTTTTCTTCTCAAACCACTTTAGCCAGTTCTGTTCAAGGTAAAATTATTAAAAGTGTACACACATTTTCTACTCCGCGTGAAATATAACAAATAACGAAATAACACGACATTTTGCGCTCGTTTTTTCAATTTGACCTGATCCGCGTTCGAACATTCGCTCTGTATAATACGTGTAATATTATTTACAGTGCGTATGTATAATATAATAATAATATATATATTATACCGCATAATGCATATGGGTCGAGCTTACGTAATATCACCGTCGCCTCCGATTAGCGGTATCCGATAAGTCTCCATTCGTGTCACAATAGAAGTTGTAACTACTGAGCACTTATGCATTATCATAAAACGATCCTAAACAAATTTTATTTTATTTTATTATTATTAAAGAAATAATTTCTGACTGTACTACACGATTTTTATTTTTATTGTTATCGCGTAGTATATTATTACCAGCTAGGATCTTTGTCTCTGTACGGTGATGAGTGTCAAATAGTGTGCACAGGACGAGCACGTAAGCAAATTGGTGGGGTACAGGGGTTCAAACCCACCCTTAAATTTTAAGAAAATGAATAGTCATTTATCGATACACGATATTAGATACTTACGTTATAGGTAAAAGTACGGTTAAATCGACTTTTCCGTCGTCATTCCTTAATACTGTTTCTAATTGTAATCATGGTAGACTTTTTGGACCTTGAGTCCCCCCGCCATAAAATTTTTCTATATGAACGCACGACGTGATTGGGTGAAGGAAACGAATGAATACAAATCAGACGAGTCGGTCGCTATGCACGCGCACACTAACTCGTATTATCGTGGTATAAATAATCATATAAACAGACCAGTGAAAAGTGTGTATGTGTGTGTGTAGAAAAAACAAAGAACGATAGACGGAGAGGAAAAAAGAATCCCTCGCTCATCACATCGTTCCGTCTATCCACGTTGTCGTCGTCGAAGGCCATTGTCGCGGTTTTTCTTTCCAGTAAAAAATAATAATAATAACAACAACAGCAATAATACTATGATTATTATATGTATCGTGTAGATACGCACTAACGTCGGTGGCGGTGGAATGCCGATCAATCTGTCACGGTGTGACTTGGAACTACGCGCATCGGTCGCTTCCGGTACACACACACATACGTGCACGTAAACTTTATATATATATATATATATATATATATATATATATATATGAATTTAAAGGATTTTGCTTCGCAATCGTCGCGAAACAATATTATCAACATTAACGTCATCATCGTGGTCGTCGCACGGACGTCCATTTTATTCCTAGGTGAAATCTTCGACGTTTTCGTCCTGCGATAGACCATATAGATATCGATCGGATCGATCAAGGCACCGCGTCCTAAACCATATATATGTAAGTGACGAGCTGCGCGTGGTTCGATATCCTTTCTTTGGCAATGCACATCTCATTGTCGTCATGCAGTTTTTTTGCGTTCGGTTTTCATCATTTTCCCAGCGAGTCTGCCGCGCAGTAGTATTAACTCATCTCTGTCTCTACCCCGGTGTGAATATTTAAAAAAAAAAAAAAATTACCGTTGTTCCCCGGTTTAAATTTAAACGCGTTAATCCAGAGAGAAAAAAAAAAACATTTTTAACAAATCTCGACGCCGATAGTCCGACTTCCGCCGTCATCGCGACGATTGATAATATCGAAAGAAAAAAATCATTCGCTCATGTTCATAACAAAAGAAATAAATGTTTTTATAGAAATATTCAAATTTAACACTATGTATTTTTATGGATGTTCGAAAACCACGAGATGACAAATCATTTGTGATAACCACATTTTTTCTCACTGTTGGACGATTTCAAACAATACAAACATAAATAATCTTACGATGCTAACACGTAAAATAATATAGGTACATATACTTGTGTTTCGTAACGTTTTTCTATTAAACAATTTTTATGCATTGTATAATAAAAATGATAAAAAAAAACTTGCACTGCAATACAATACAATTTTTTTGTAAAGTTTTGTTCACGATTTATGCTATCCCTCTATTTCCAAACATATGGACTGTGTCGACTACAGTTACTAACCTTACGAATCGTGAAGAATGTTTATAAATGACCATCGTGTAACGCGAAATTATAGATATTTTAGGACAGGACTCTGCAGCACATACACTGCGTAATGAGTTAGCCGTTCCCGTTTTTATTTGCATATAATTACCGTTGAATGAAAAGAAAAAAATTATAACATACGGTCGAATAAACCCTCGAGTTCTTAGAGACACAATGAGGAATGTTCATAAATTACCATCGTGTAACGCGAAATTATAGATATTTTAGGACAGAACTCTGCAGCACATACACTGCGTAAAGAGTTAACCGTTCCCGTTTTTATTTGCATATAATCACCATTAAATGAAAAGAAAAAAAAATTACAACACACAGTCGAATAAACTCCCGAGTTCTTAAAGACATACTTACTAGATACTTACAAGACTTACTATGATTATTATTATTATTGTCATTATTACGTGAGTTCCGTCCGTACGGACGATTGCAAAGGACGAACGTGGCCGATCGCCGGCCATGGCGAGCTACATGTGTTCCATCACGTGCGGGTAGTTAGTAGGTACGCTGAGTACGTGCCGAGTACGTAATAGCTCATCCGAGAGCACCTACAGCTGTGACACGTCGTCATCACAACGATAATAATAATTATGTAAAAACGCAAACATCGGTTATGGTTGTTAGCGAAACTATGCGACCGTTAACGTTTGCGTACGCCGATGCAAATATAGGTGCGCGTACGACGGACGACGGTGCGAGAACGATGATATAACGTTGTTTGAAGAACGTGACGT